GGTATCCACCCACACAATCACATTTCACAAATGATTCCTGCTTTAGTGCCTTCCCTGCCTAACATAACAAATGACAGCACAGAATTAGTTTGCAGTTCAGGAATTATGGCTGATTTTTTCCAGAAGCAGTTTGTGATGTCAGATGCTTCAGTTTTGAGGTGTCCTGAGTTTCAGCAGACAGCAGGGCCTTAACAGTGCCCCTGACTGAGCATCTGCTATCACCTGGCACTTCTGAAATCTTGGTCTAAACTTCTACTCACTTTCTTATTTTCATTGTAGACAGATAAGGACATCTTATGTACGCATGTATTCATGAACACAAACCTTCATCTCCACCAACACATAACACACACACACGCGCTGTAATGGAGCTCCCAGTCCTCCAAACACCATCAGAAAGATTACACACGAGGAGAAGAGCTTCATAACTCCAAGAGTCCAGGTGCTTTTTTAGTTATCCTTTTTGTTTTCAGTGCCTATGGATTTTTTCCTCCCAGCTTCCTCATCCAAAAACCTAGCTACTTGTTATTTTATTTTTTAATTCTCGTACATTCGCTGACAGCAAGAGCTGTGGCTTTTAAATAAAAGAAATAATCACAGTTTTATAAGACTTGGATTAAAAAAATCAATGTAGCAATAAAAGAATATGCAATCTTTTGTGACAAAGTCTGTTTTTTCACTGCTCAGATAATCTGGTTTTAATCCAGTAATCAATTATTATGGGTTATTTGTATTGTAACAGGGCCCAGAGGCCCCGACTGAGAACAGAGCCCACTTTTACTCAAGTTTCTATACTTCCCTCATCACATCCTCTCACAGGATCCTGCAGTAACACACTAAATGATGTTACGTATTTCTGTGTGAACCTCAGTACTCAATTTAAGGAAGTAGTAAGAGCAGAGATTAACATTAACCTCATGGAAAGTTTGCCATTGCAGGGTTACGCGTTGAGTCTCAGTGTCCTACGAGCGCTGCGAGCCAGCAGGACGGTTCAGCCCTCCCATCTGAGGCTGGGATGTTCTCACCTCTTCCTACCGCCTGCAAATTCAGTCAGCTCACAAACTTGGCACCCGAGTTTAAGCTGAAGGTGGGCGAGGTGAATCCTCAGCGCGTTGCCCAAGAGTATACAGGAAGCGTGTGTCAGGGCAGGAGACTTGACACGAGGCTCACGCCACGCAGCGTGCTCCCTGCCCCAGCACTGGCCTTGCTCCACGACTGGCACTGCCTGTACCTCCTTCAGCTGCGCCGGGGACTATCGGCAGACCCGGTGAGAGGCAGCCAGGGTTGGCTCTGCCCTTTTGGTTCCCTCTTTCTTCCCATCCTGGAGGGACCTTTCAGACTGGCCAGACCTCAGCTGCCCAGATCTCCTGCAGTGCAGGTGGCTGATGTACTCTCTATGCACACTCTAACGTATTCAGACTCAGAGTATCCTGTGAACACGTGTCCCCCAAGTCAGAGAAGCCTTTTGCTTTGCTGTTTAATAATAAAAAAATAATAGCATAATGTGTTTCAAACAATGTTTTTGCCAAACAAACACAATTCACCCCATCCTAGGTATGATCCTGTCAAACAACACATTTCTGGAGAGCAAGTATCACAGCTCAGAGAGCAAAGACAGAAGAATGGAAAGAAACAAAAACTTGACCCAGCAGGCGGTTGGCACCTGGGCACCAAGTCATTTGGTAAAGGACACGTGCTCTTTTCCTCTGAGCACTTGTGGTCCGAACATCTGGGGACAAGGACTGGGTTTGGATCTGAGCTACCCTCACCCGTACCATAATCACAGCTACCAGCCAGCACACCCCAAGGAGGAACAGCGCCCAAGCCACCACGACTGCTGATCTTCCAAACCTTTGAAACTTGGGTATTAGCAATGGAGTCCCAGCCAGAATTTAATCATATCCCACATAATCAATTCCACTGATTCCCGTAGTTTTCAGCTGTTGCCTTTAGCACCCCATAGCACACGCTATTTCGGGATGCGAGGCACCAGCCGGGGCGGTCTCCCTGCCAAGGAGCTGAACAGAAGCACCTGCAGGTGCAGTGTAAGTGCAAGTGCATTTTCCGATGAATACTTTACAAGGATCAACAATTTAAACCTCAGACGAAACAAAGCAGGAGTAAATCCTCATTAGTGTAACTGTCTTTATTCTACAAATTTATCTGGAATTACACCGATGTACCAATCGGTTGAAAATGTGACCCAAAGCATCAAAGCAGAGATACTATGTAAATGTTGATTTATCTCTGCTTTGAGTCTAGAGTTTATTCAGAGGGCTTTTACTCCTTTGTTGTGAATTGCATAGCAGTTATTTGATTGTTGTTTCTTTAATTTACAAATCTCTCTTTCTCTTTACATAACTTTAAAAAAAAAAAAAAAAAATAGAACCCCCGTCTCCCTTGAAAGCATGCCTCGCTCCAGCATGGTTATCCCTTGTGTGCTTTACTGCCAGAACTTTATAAAAGGGCTTTAACTTTTCATTCACCAGGAGCATAACTCAAGTTTTAATAACACACCTTATGCATGACAAAAATTTGCTTCTGGCGATCATGGTTTCGACCACAAAACCACAACTGGGAGTAACTCCTGGTTAACTCTTTCAAGCCCACGCATTGCAGAGTTAGACAGAAGTTCAATTTAGAAGACTATGGAAATTATCAGTTAGAATATTTTATAATAGGCAAACCATCTCATTCTCTCATGCCACGCTAGTCTCTTCCCAGTCCTTCCTGTGAAATTAAAGGGGCAAATGGAGACATGAGATTATTTTCCCTGTCATTTGGGGTGACAGCATCAGTCCGTGGGGATACCACAGCTCCCTTCAAAATCAGCTGCATTTGGGCACATGTTCAGAGCTCAGATCAACCCTCCCAGTGCTCAGCTGGTGGGGGGGGGGTTGTATAAAGAGCAAGGGCTGTGCCAGACACCCAGACAGGCACTGCTGCCCTTATCAGATCCTCTAAGCACTCCTCGGAGAGCCCTCTCCTGCCCCCCACATGTCTACAGAGCTACACCCAGCACGACTTCGGCCTGGGTGATTAACCAGAGGTTAACAGCTACTACAGCAGCCCCATTGCTCAGATGTCGGGCTTTAGCAGCTCTTCCCAAGGTTCCTCCTCCCCGGTGACACCTTTTCTCCCCTCATAGTAAACGCAAAAAAGCTGCCTGAACGTTTCAGCTACGCCTTTGGTACCACGAAGCTCCCAGCTCCCTTATCTCCCATCGCTGCTCCTCGTCAGCCCCGGGGAGCTTTCGGGTGAGATCCTCCAGGTCCATTGTGCTCCTAAAAGCCTTCTCCAGGGGAGCCCCTCTGAGAAGGCACCAGCAGGCTGGAGTTGTTCCACCACCCCCCCCCGTCTGCGCTCCCGAGAGATATTTTTTCCCCCAGCTGTGGGCTAATGAACTAAAGTGACATTTTTCGGAGAGATCCGCAAACGTGTCCTCAGGTTCAATCTATAAGAAAACGTTGCACGGAGCCTTTTACCTCCGGAGGTAACCAGAGCCCCATCCCGTGACCTGTCCCGAAGGCTGAGAGCAGACAGCAACCTCTGCAGCGTTATCGGTCTTTGGAGCCGAGATCTGAATCACAAAGGGGATGCTGCTCCCATCAATTCCCCCTTTCTCATGGGAAAGGCACAGGGGTTAACAGCCCGTTAGTAAGAGAAGAGTCAAGCAACCATGTAATTCATCAGGTAATATAATGCCCCAGTCCATAATTAGTAATACATCAATCTAACTCTGCAGCGCGCTGTGTACACACACACACTCTGCAGCGTTTGGAGAGCAAACCGCCTGGCCTGACTCTTCACCTTTAAAAAGCATCAACTACAAACTCAGAAAAGCACCAGCTACAATGTCCAGCAAGGAAAAATGTTAAGTCGCTGAATCTTAATCGATCCAAACATACAGACCCCGGTATTTACGTAAAATAATAATTAGTGCTGCACCTTTTCAGGGTTCTCAATTATTAAGAGATTAGCTGTCACAAGACCTCTGCCAGCCTCTCTATGTGTAAACACACAGAGGCATGTTTTTCTTTCAAAATTCCTTCCGAAGCACCATATCCATACACAGATGCATACATATGGACATGTATTCCTTGGTAAATTTTACTACACAAGTACTTCATACAGGGCTATATAGCTAGATCGCTTTTTAAGACTGGATTGACAGCAGCATTCGCTACCCTTGTTCAATATTCCTCCAGCCTTTACCACACCGTGTCATACCAGCATGACATTTGTTTAATTCCAGAGGTGCAAGGCACGGTATGCTGTGCAAATCCATGCCATCAGTATCCAAAGTCCAAAATATTTTGGAGAAGTCAAGATTAGAAGCAAGAGTTATGCAGGATCAACAAAACGTTAAGTGCTTTTTCTTGTTTAAAAAAAAAATAAAAATACAATAAATCGTAATAATCACTTGATGGAATCATAATGTGAATCTATTTACTTAAAAAAAAAAGAAAAAAAGAACATCACACAACAACCCCAGCCCCACAAAAATCTAGAAACTCATCAAAAATTAGTAAATACTTTGGAAGGTATTTAAAACAAACAAACAAACAAACAAAACAAAACAACACAGAATCACTTTTGCCTACGTTAGATTTTGTTGGATAGAGGCAGAACAATCTCACATCTAGACAGAAACCCTGTGTCAAATTTTAGTCCGGGAGAAGGAAACCAAACAAACCCCCAAAAAATCCTGATTTTAAACAACTCTTAAATAGTAAGAAGTGATTCCTCCTAAGAGCAGCAACAGGTTAGTGAGGAACAGAAAGTCTGAAAAACGCTCCCATCCCAGTCTTTTACTTCCACTTGCCAACAGCTGGGCAGGCAGCTTAACCCAGGGATTCACCCAGACCCGAAGCACTTAAACAAGCCTCGGAAGAAAAGCTCAGCCCTTACAGAGAGGAGTGGGGAAATAGAGAAAAAAAAAGCAAAAAAAAATAAACCACACCAAACCAAACTAAAAAAAAAACCCCAACTCTACTTACTCCAGTTCATTAGACATTTCCCCACGTTTCCAAATCTTCGCAGACAGTAAATTCTGATGCCTCCTCTCTCCTAGTACCTGCTAAAGACAGACATTGCCTGTGAAGTGTTTGATTTATGTTGAGGTTTTGCGCCCAGGTATTTTGCTGACAGGTCGGTTGCCGGGGATTGGCTGCCGGCACAGGTGCCCTGGGACAGGTACACCCAGACAGGTGCAGCCCGTAACCCTCTGCCTGCCGGCCCCGGGAGGATGGAGGGCAGGGACCTGGGTGGGGAAGGAGGGAAAAGCCCTGCGGGGAAAAAGAGAGGATAAAGGAGGGGAGTCAGTTCTTCATCTCCCTGATAATTAGTTTCAGTTTGGTGGACGTGTTCCACATCCTGCGATGCCAGATAGCTGTCATTTTTATTAAGCTGGGGGTTGGTTTGTCCTTTGCTGTTTCTTTATATATAAATATACAGACAAAAATACGTACACACACACACACACATATATATGTTATATATAGGAACACATTAGGGAAGAAGAAAAGCCGTTTAGTTTCCTCTCATTCCTAAATGATAACTGCGCTGACAGGCTAACCCTTCCTTTCCTTTTCTCACCCCCTCTTAGCTTCTCACTCCAGAACGCCTCCATAGTATGTTTGGGTTTTTTGTTTTTTGTTTTTTTTTTTTTCTCTTAAAAACAAAACTTTAAACCCCCTAACATTAGAAGGCAAGACATGCAGCAAAGATACCGGCTGAGGGAATCTTTGCCTTACACGGGATATGTAAGGGGAGCCGGTCTGCGGGGTAACCTTTTTCCGTACCGTTCACGCGTGCTGTCCTGCCTTCTGGACGCAGACAAGAGCGTTACTCCAGCACGCACGGGACGGCAGAGGGAAGCCCAGCCACACGCCGTTTGGGAACTGGCTGCAGGAATGCCACCCAGGCAATAGCTCTGTAGCAACTCACCTGTAAACGGGGAAAAGATTTATGCAATAGAACAAAACTCATCATGGATTCAAGCACTCCTGTTGGATGGTTTCTGTCATCCGTGTTGCAATGAGGAGGCAAAGGATGGGCTCAGTGGGTGACTCATGTTGACTGGATTTGGAAGGCAGGAGAGGATTTTATGAGACAAGTTGGTACAAGCCTTAAAACAAAGGGAAAAAGAAAGGTTTCCACCACTCGTTCTCACCCCCCATCACCGTCTCACTCACTGAATCTGTCCCACTCAGTGCTCTGCACCGGCAGATGAGCACAAGAAAGCTTGTGAGTCTTCCTTCACATAACAGTAAGTTCAGCTCTCCCAGCTTGGTGACAAATGGCCTTACCGGCCCACTCAGGCGGGGATAAGGCATGTCTACACAGGCAGACGTGAAGACAGAGCGTATTAATTTGGGTACAACACCCTTCAAACACATCCCTGTGGTTTCTGGCTCAGAGCATGGCCAGCTCGGAGCGCAGGACCAAGAATGACCGCGGTGTATCTGCACGGGCTGCTCAGGACAGGCTGCGCCGAGCTGTGCCTGACCCAGCCGGCGGCTATCACCCTCCACTCTGCTGTGCAAACTCCTCCTGCCAGGGATCTAGGGGCTGGACAAAGTCTGGGCTCTGGGTATGAAAACCAAAGGTCTGGAGCAATGCAAACTCCACCGGGGATCATTGGAGAGCTCCAGCTGCCAAGACCTTGTGCAGCAGAGGACAGCAATACCCAAAAATCAGCTGAGTGAGGGCTGGTGGTCAGTCAGTGCCATAGCGGAGACCGTGCAGTGGTGAGAGGACAAAAACAAGAGAAGAGGAAAGAACACGTATGTCCTACTGAGCCAAGGAAAGCGCAAATCCTGTGCACTGGTGGCATTACTTGATCAGCATTCTGATTATATCTCTAAATTAAGGAAGCCCTGCCCAGTTCATGATGAGCAGAGTCGTAGTCCTGGCTACTTGTCCTTCACCTGGATCCAGGCAGAGTATTTCACTGAGTAAAGCAAAGAGCAGCAACATCCCCTTAGGGGATTTCCAAGTTTCTTCTAACCTTTCAGTGAGACTTACCAGATTCCAACAATAAAAGTGAAGGAGGAAAAAACACTCCCTGAGCCAGACCATGCAGGGGAATGGCAGGGCACGGGATTCTGACCTCTGCAGGGAAAACCTTGTGTCAAAGAAAAGGGAGGGAGAAATGTGTCTGGCAAAGCCGAGCAGTGACGGGCTTTGTCTTAGCAAGAGGTGCTCTGTGGGCCTCGGTGCACCACAGCCAGGCCAAATCCACCTCTCGATGGAAACGCTCAGGTTTTTAGACTTGGCCTTTTGCAGGGCAGCACGGATGACGTTGTCTGCTACTCTATGATAGGGGACAGGAGAAAAAGAAAGTCCCTGGACCCTTCTGCCTGCTGGATCTAGGCTTCGTAACCAGCATGCTGCCGGTAGAGCCTCATTTCTACTGTTGGGGTTTAAGCCTACCCCTGCTGCACTTGGGGCTCACACTCCACGGCTCAGGTGGAAGTGGGGACAGCCGATGCTGCTGGCCAGTCACCCGTGAGGCTGCGTGCCCCGTCCTGCTTCAGTGTGTCCGGAGCCTGCCCGGGAAGTCGTGAGGTTCCCTGGGAATCTGCGAAGGACTGGTAGAAAGGACAGAAACCCAGATTCCCCTTGGAACAAGTTCACCGGGACTCCACAAGGACAGCTGTGACCGTCTCTCTTAGTTTTACTCATTCTGTTTTTAAGCATTAAGTTTCTTTTTAGCTTTGCTGCCACTGACGCAGGACCTCGTCTTTTTTTTCCTGCGAGAATCTTCTTGCAATGGCAGAATGAGAGACTTTGCCAGGTAGGAAGATGCGTGCTCGTTCTCGCATACGATCTTATTTCTTATGCAATTAGCTATGCGCCTACCCGCAGCACTGAGGCACTCTCCCAGCCTCCAGGAATTATGGCGCCTCGGTAAAATCCCTCACAGCAGAAACCAGCCCCTTTGCGTCAGTACCTTAGGGCCTGTACACGTGTCTGTCTTCTTCATGGCAACACCAGCTTGAGTTTGCCCTCTCAGACACCTTTTCAAGGCCGGGTGAAGCTGTTACTGACTCCCTATCCCCAATCTTCCCACGGACAGGACCCTCGCTGCCTCCCCTGAGTTAGCTTGATGCTCTTGCCGGCGAAGGAGGACCAGGACCATCCCAGCAGGCACACACCAGTCGGGGTGCTGGTGGGAAGCAGGGACAGCCTGGGCGCTGCGCTGCCTCCAGCACCCGCCAGCTCCTGCCAGACGGGACCACCCTTGCCCTGCCTCTTCCATTCTCTTGTCTTTTTTGTGATAATGTATGTTTTATGGCGCCTGAGAGGCCTCCAGGCCTGGACGCCTAGACAATCCCTTTGACTATGATTTCAGTATTTTTAATTATTATTTTCTCTTTTTTTTTTTTTTTTTCATTTATACTCCACCCTCCAAGAGTATCTGGTGAGGGGGTGGGTTAGAAGAAAGAGACCAAGAGATACATTCTCTATGCACAAAACCCTCCCACTTCCCTTCCACTCCCCTGTTAAATATACCTTGGAACAAAAGCCCTTTATGATGCTCTAAAAATAAAGCATGCAGCAGTCAAGACAAACGACAAAGTTTAAAAGAGAGGGCCAAATTTTCCTCACGGCTACACCCTCTCTAAGGCAACAGGGTTGCACTTGTGTTTGGATTGTTAAACCCTCTTCAAACATCCAGGGGCAGACCGTGATTAGCTGCGTTTCGTTAGGGAGAGATCAGCAGCTCCATGATTGAGGACGACATCACTCATCGGGTCTCCGTGTCAGGAGCCGGCTGGGTCTGTGTTTGGAGGAGCTGCCCAAGGTGCGGCGCGGCCCTGTGACCATGCCACCCTGATGTTCCTATTTCTCCCTCCACCACCGATTTGTGGTGTGACCTCGGAGAAGTCATTTCACGCTCCCTGTTCCCAGTCTGGCTTCTTTTCTACGTAACTTATAAAAAAACTTCAAAGCAAGGGCTTTAATCCCTTTAGGATACATGGCTTTTCCCACTGACAGCTGTCAAACATCCTTTCCAGTTGTCCTGTGATGTGCCAGGAATTTCAGCTGTCTTTGACCAAAGGTTATTAAAACACTTCAACAATTAATATGCAGTAAGAGGAAGCAGCCTGAAGCGGGTTAAAGTGAGCTGTTCTCCAAAGGGAGACGTGGCTGCTTCAGGTGCTTTTCCAGCAAAAAATACAGCTTGTGCCATATGAGTAGAAACCTTTGATATCCAGACCAGACACTTTCCCAGTGAGACTCCCTCTGCCTCCCAGAGCCTTTTCCTTGGGAAGGCAGAGAACAAAAAGCTGATCTGGAAGTTCCTTGGGCTGCAAGTCTTTGTCTGACGGGACTGCCCCGTCACTCTGTTTGTACAACACATAGCACAACAGAGGCTACAAAAATCACTCTGTAGCGCTATTGTGATAGTAATAACGAGGAAAAGGAAAAAAAAATACATCTGGCATTCTGAAGTGAGCACAAGAGCCAAACCCCTCGATGACCCTTTCTGAGCAGTTGTTTTCCAGCGAGGTGAATACCTCTATCTGCAGGGTATCTGGGAAGCCAGCTGGCTCTGCTGGATCCCAGTACCACTAAACAACATGACCTGATGCTTAAATGTCTTTTTATTAGAGTCAGGCCAGTTTGTTATTATCTGTTGTAGCCCACGGGGCTATAGGAAAATTCCTGTTGTCTTTATCTAGTTCTACCAGTTTTTACACAGTAACGAGTTTGGGTTGCAAACAAGTGACCCAACTAACAGTTTTCAGGGCGGCCACCTTCGGTTTAAGTAAACAAACACGACCCACCGTCTCAGCCAGCTTCGGTTGGTGGAAGAAGCTTCACTTTTTCTCTGCGCGCTCTGACCTGAGCTCATCCCATGCTCCCCCAGCGTGTGCATTTAGCTGACAGCTGTCAGTCCAAACCCAGTTAGAAGAAACCCACAGTGGGGAATGGACATCTCAGTTTAGTCTACAGAGGGCGGGAGCTGGTTGGAGATGTTGCAAGGATGTTCTCCACTTCAGTCATATTTACTGCCCAGGCTTCCTGTGATATTCAGCTATAAATATGTACAGGGAGTCAGGGGAAGGTTTCGCAGAGGAAATCTTGGGTTGTCTATAAAAGGGATTTAAGACTGGTCCCAAGGAAACTTTGTCTTCTAACCCCAGCACCCAACAGTGAGCACGTGCCGCTGCTCTTCAGCCATACCTCACCCACAGGACTTCCCTCCCATCAACTGTCTCACACGTGCAACTCAAAACATGAAACGGAAAAGCGCATTTCCTCTTGCAAAAAACCACAAGGAGCTGAATTCCCCCCACCGGTGGTTCCGACACCAGGAGCAGAAGGGGCTGTCAATGACACGCGCAGTGCAAGGAAGGGCTCAGCGCTGGGCCCACAGTTACCGCAGCGCTGTGATTCCTCGCTCAGAGAAACTTATTTTTAAACATGAAAACAGTTTTTAAAATGGACCAGATGCAAAACATCAGGTGTCACTCCCAACCATTTCCCCCACTGCTGCAGCCTGATCAAAGCTGCCTCCCTTCGGGAAGTTATCTGATGTCAGCCAGTGACGCTGTAGCAGAGATGAGTTTGGTCTCAGACACCTCACTTGACTCCATTCATCATTAATCAGCCCTTTATGAGCAGAGATATGGAAATGTCACTGGCAGAGGGTGTCCCAAGCTGCTCAGAATAGATTACCCTTATCAGCCAGCGGGTTAGATCCCAGGAGCAGAGATCGGGCTCAGATTCAGACTCCAGCTGAAGCACAAAGTGTGTTTGGGTCCCGTGTCTGCTCGGCTCACGCAGTGGCAGAGATGCCAGTTCTGATTTGAATCTAAGCACGGCACAGAAATGGAATTTCATTCAGCAAACCCTAAGTAGCAAATAAAAAAGGAAATATTCTGAATGAATCTCAGTCAGCCCTGGTGGACTATCATGAATCTGCTCAGGGAGCCTTGAAAGTCATCTTTACGTGACAACTCAGTTTCTGTAGCTAATTAGAAAAGCTCAGGCCAGAGATACTTATCTGCGTGCAACATCTGGAACTCATAACGTCTCAGGTTTGCCAGCGTTCATGGTTTCATTACAAATCTGCTGATACTTGCTGTTGTTATTCGTTTATTCAGTTGCCTCCTTAAAGCCTGACTTCTTGGAATCGCATGATCATGTGAAAGCTTTCTCAAAATAAAAATCTCTGTCCTACATGATTGTTACAAAGCGCCTCAAAACGCAATACCTATAGGCTCAGGAAGGAAGAGACAGAAAGGAAAACAACTCCTTCACACAGCCCACAGAGTTAAGCAATTTTAAAGCCAATCCTACATCTACCGGGGACCTGGCTTGTGGTTTCGAAGCCAGCCCTGTGTTTGGCAGGACCACGGCTCGTGAAATGTTAGTGCTAAGGCTGGTCAGTATTGGAATCATCAAAGCGCTCTGCAGATTTTAATTATTTCTCACTTTTGTTCTACACCTGTCATTACTCATCTGAGCCAGTCATGGGATACTGGTACAGGGGACGTTTTGGGATAGCTAGAATTGGCACACAAGAGCAGTCATCCTGCCTTGCTCTGTCTCAGCACTTTGGCAGGAGCTGGCTCTCCCACAATACCTTGAGAATACAGCTGCTGGACCTGATTATTTATAGAGAAGAGGAAGAAGTTGGCTCCGCAATCTTGATTTGACTCTGAAATTGTCCCTGGAGTTGGGATTCCATGCTCAGATCCCAGGCCTTGTTTGGAGACACCTTCCGCTCCCGAAGCATTCAAATGAAAAGGCAAACGCTGAGGGAAGGGAGAAGCAGTGAGGCTGGGCAGGGGCTTGGTACATCAACTGTGGGAACTGAATCTCATTTCTAGTGAGAAAACTGGAAACCCCTGCCAAAGGCCCTGCATGAGTCACCGAGCTATCGTCTCGCTGGCTGATGCTGTGCAGGTAACTCAGCACCAACTTCTGAACGGCCTCACGTGGGAGAAGCACCTGGTACTGGGAGCTCTAGTTCTCAGCTCTTCACAGGCAGGGAGGGATTTCCCTCCGAGAACCTGCAAACAGGCCCAGTTTGGTCCCTGCTCCCTCCTGCGGACCACAGCTCTGTCGTGCTAACACACAGCAGCAAAGGGAAGGGAGAGTCCCCTTCGCAGGGGGGCTGCAGCAAAACCCAAGCAAAGCTGGCAGTGCTGGAGCCTCCAGTAAAATTTACAGTTCTAGGCTGGAGAAAGGGGAAACTCGAACTTTTGGACTTTTATCTTCTGGTGCAAGCACAGCTCGAGGGATTTGCTGCAGGATGTCGTCTTTGTCTGACGGCACGAGGGAGCGGGTGGCTCTCCACGGAGCAAAAGCTTTATCGGGGGGTCGTGGGGCCTCCCGAGTCACTCCAGCCCCCCCTCAGCTGCACAGTCCTCCTCCATCCACGCTGCAGCTGCACACCCCCCCGGATGAAGCCATGATCTGGTGAGGATACAGGTAATCACAGCCAGATATCAGGTCTTCACCTGCCAGCGCCCACACACCACAGCCCAGCTCCTGCTGGCACCTCTGCCAGAGACCAAAAGCTGTAAAGGAACCTGGGCTCTGCTCTTATCCTTCCTATCAGAGCTACAGTACCCCAGCGGGCACACGGCAGCTTGGAGGAGCCCTGAAACTCCACCGGCATCATCTCTCCCAAACATCCTCCCCATGGCTCTGAAGTGTAGGAGAGAGAAGCAGATACCCATCTACTGCACCCTCTGGTAGTGGGCAAGCTCTCTGCTTCCTAGCTGGCACCTGTCTATCATATTTGATAACAAATAAAGGCCCACTTAATCCTGACTCACTCGACCTGCTCATATGGCTTACTTTTCCTGGCCAGGCCATAATCCAACACCTACAGTGAAAAATCTTGCCATCTTAAATGAAACCTAAATTAAAATCGTATCAGTGCATTGCCTTCTCTGATAAAAAATCCAACCAAACCTTGTAAGAATTTATTAGCTTGTTTCGAAACTGCCCAGCATCTAGGCCAAACATATAAACCCACGAGCTTTCCTGAACAGCGAATCCAGTAGATAAATTTACTTTTTGTCAGACTCTGTAGGCTGGAACTCTCTTTTCAGGGCAGACTGTTGGTGGGGGATTAACTGAAAATTCACTGCAGGGTACCGGTTATCCTGTGGAGTGGAAAAATATCAGGTAGTTTTGCAACATTTGAGGAGATGCACAAAGAACGTCTTGGGTGGCAGTTAGCACATAAGGGCTGCTGGCCCTTAGGGGCTTGGGGATTTTCCTTCCTCATCGAAAATGTGTCCTGCAAGAAGCACACACCTATTACAAAACAAACCGCTGCTTTAGCTTTGTTAAATCAATCAATCAATCTTTTACTTCAAGATCTGAGAACCAGCCTCCCTTCTGAACCGACACTTTCCTATTTGCCCCACGCAGGTGAGACGGCACCCAAAGACGAGGCTCCGCTGGCGTGGTAGCCTTCCTGAGAACGGCAAACCCGATTTACCTGCGAACCTCTGACGCTGGCTCTGAGCACCAACGGCACCGGCATTGATATTCAGGGAGGATCTGTTGCCATAGCTTGTCTCTAAGGCACTGAAATGGAAAGCAGGAGACCAAAGCGCTGCTCGCTGCACACCAGTGTGCCTGAGCTTCGCCTCTCACAACCTTTGTGCCTGTTCCAGTTGGAGGCCTGTTTGGGCAGTCTCGCACTAAGCACTTGGACAGGTGCCACCCCCGGGGCTCTCATGGGATTTGCAGCCACGACCGTACTGCGAGTAATTTTATGCGAGTCTTAGAAAAATTTGCCTACCCTGAGTGTCTAGGCACCCACGCAAACCACTAGTGGAGATGTGACTTATAGCAATGCATTTTTACCCCAGTTTGAAACAAGATCAAACAAATTATACTGCACCAGCATAAACTATGTCTCTACTGGAGCCGGAACTGGTACTTGTGGCCAAAACCCAAGTACGGATGAGTTCTAAAAAGACACAAAAAGGAAGCTACAATTTCATCTGAACCTGAAGGATTTATAACCTTGACAGTGAGACCTTTTCCTGTGAGCTCCTACAGTAGCTTTAGAACTAATCCCCGCCAGTGAAATCCGTGCCTGCTGCTCTGATTTTCAGCACAGAACGAAATCATTTTAGGATGAACTAGAAAGACCTAATCTGAGTCAGACTCAGCAACAGCCACATTCAGAGCTCGGTGGAGAGGCAAAGCTGAAGACCAGGTTCAGATGAAGGATGTCAGGTGGTCGTAGGAAGCCTTGTTATAAGAATTTAAACGTATTTTATCCATTCTTGAATAAAAGGTCAAACAAATGCGACACGAAGCTTCTGCCTGGCCTACTGCCTCTCCGCTGGGGTTCCTGCTCTCGAAGGTGCTCAGCGGGTAGGCAGGGATCGGCTTACTCCTGGGCTAAAGTCTGCCTTTGCATTCCAGCTGATGGGATTAATTACGTTCGACTTCTTCACCTCAACCACGCTTCGGAGGGAATGGAAGGACCATAGATGGGGAAGACAACACAACCTAAGGACTTCTTGCACCCAGTTACTCAACCCCACTGTATGAGATGGTATTTGGAGAGCCCAGCCCACTGTCTGGAGCCAGCGTTGAACCTTCGGTGTAGACAAGGGCCAAACGGGGCAGCGTGGGGCCATTGTGCGCCTTCCCAAGGGAGAGTCTGGACTGCGGATTGTGCTTTTCTTCCACCCAAGGAAAAGCTGCCCTTTGCAGAGCCTTGTGGTGCAAGCTGGCATTGTGTGGCAGCGTGCAGGCAAGAGTATTTGGAGACTCCCCCTCGACCTGAGCATGACATTTGGCTGACATTTCTACAGAGCCCATCCCTGCAGTATCAGATCCTTTCTCCCTGTGATCTCCTGTGTCCTAAAGACCCCAGGCAGCTCCCCTGGCTAACAGGAACCCAGATCGAATTCTGGCCATTCACCGCCTGAGGTCAAGCTGTAAAATGAACAATCCAAAATTGCCCCGAAAGGCAGATGTACTAATTAGAGAAACCTTGGGTGGCAGTTCTGAGTACGATGCTTTTAATAACTGCAGGGATGTTGAGAAGCAAATGAATTATATGATGAAAGTCTACCAGGCTGCAGAATCCAGATATGTAATAAGCAAGACTGGCACCAAGACTGAAATTTTGCCCCCTGGGCTTGGCATTTTGTCTGATTGCCTTTCCAGATGAGAAGGTATCTGGAGCTTCCGGTCCCGCCGACTGCTTGGCAGGAAGGTATTTCTCAACAACAACCCGGGGAATCATCCCGGGAAGGCTGGAATTAAGAGAGCCAGCACTCACCGGCGCTCAGGGAAGCACAGCCAGGTTTTCACCAGAAGAGAGTGACCAAGGTTCCTCTCTTGACTTTTGGACTTAAAGTGGACGTAAACCACATGGAAACTTTAAACTTGCTTATTACTGTAAAAGGCTAGCTGGTCAAAGCCTTTACTTCTTCTCTTTGCCTGCGCACAGATAAAGAAGCTCCGGCAGCTCCGGGGGTCTGGGTTGCTCCCTGTCTGCCTGTGGCCCCTGATCCCATTGAGGGTCCCACACTCTAATTGTTTATATTCCCAGAGCTCTCCTGAAGCCGGGAGAACCCCTCCTCTCTTTCTGGGAGGTGTGCCTTTACCTTGCCACCCAGCACAGTGCAGGCGTCCCTGTGAAAACGGAGACACGAGTTGTTCGCATCTGCAGAGTACAGCCCCTACATCTGGGTCCGCCAGCCGAAAGCCACACACTGTGGGTCACATAAACGAGGCTGTTTCTAATCTAAATCATTTCTCCCAGCCACAGAGGCCTTTGCAGGGCCAGTACAGCCCATATGCCCAGCACAGGGTCATACAAGGAACCCCTGCAGAGCCAGGGCCCGGCACACTCCGTTGTGTGGCAGCGGGGACGGGAGGGACCCCCACCTCGCTGCTTTTGCCAGTCCATGGCATGCAGCAAGGCTCCCTGAGTCACCTCCCTCGCTCCAGCTCAGTGTGTTACACCCTCCCACACTTCCTTCCATCACTCTGTGACCTCTTCGTGCCCTACATCGGGGCTATCTGTACTCGCCTTCCAGCTGTGCCACCCCACAGCCGCCTGGCCCGCACTCCTCCCTTGGCTGGGATCCACACGCACCCATTGCCTCCCCCAGCACCCACCAGGAGCACCCCTGGTCTCCACTGACACTAGGCTCTCCTCCCATAACCCCACCTCAGTGGCTTCACCAACAGCTCTAATAAATCTTGCAAATGAGGGTCCCCAATTACAAGAGGTTTACGGTCCCCTGATAGCTTGCTTAGTCCCGCAGGTCATCACAGCTTTCCCCCAGGGTGGACCTTGCTTGAAAGCAAATTCCAACATGCATCGAGGCCCCACTTCAGACAAGGCGAGCAGCAGAGACTCCCGCTGAGGAGGAGCAAGGCAGGCTGGAAAGGTCTGCCCATCCCTAGCCCATAGCTGCCCGCGAAAGGAGGACGCCCGTGTGTGTATCACGCCTAGGAGAGCTTGAATTCACTCTCACGCTGCTACATGTCCCAAACAAGCCACACACAGTTATTTTCAATGGCAATTAAAGACTAGCTCCTGTTTCAAGGGCTGGACAATGAAATTGCAGGAAGAGCTGCCCTGACCCAGCACCCATTATGTCAATGAATATGCTGGATTGAGAGATGCTGACGCTCGGCTCGGCTCCAATTCACTTTTAATTCTCCTGGCCTGAAACCCTGCAGGAATAATATGGGGAGCTTGAAGCCATTGCACGGGGATTTGGGAGCAGCACCTGTTTTAGGAATAATCAGCCCAGCAGGAGGAAAGTTTCTCTCTGCTGGTCTGGGAGTATTTACATTTTTGACCCTGTCTCAGCGTGATAATAGCGCACTTTGTCAATCTTGCACAAAACCTTGCTGGGCTCTGTGACTGGTTTGTCCTGACTCCTGCATGGCTCTATTATGATTTTTCAAAAGACCTCCCATAAGGGTTAAATGACCTCACATTAGTGCTAATTTGGGGCTAACTTTCCTATTCAGCACATAACAAAGCAATTGGTGTTTACCCAAGTCCCATAAAGTGACAGGGACCACACACAACCTCACTGCACTCAGCCTGGACACAGATAGAACTCCACCTCAGCCCTTCCCTCAGCATTGTCATTTTGTCGGAGAGAGAGGGAGGGCAAAAAATAAGAGAGGCTGATGGAAAATCTTCGCCCAGCCTGTGCCCAAAGCACGACATGCTGAATTAAGCACACCCAAGGGTCGACCTGGAGCAGCTCCACTGCTGTCCCCAAGGAGATTCTGCAATGGGGAGAGACAGTGGTGGCCATCCCTTCTGTTCTCCGACACGGCTGAGTCACAGCCCCACACTTGGCTGCCTCATTCCTTCGCTGCTTTTCTTCTCCACAGGCTCCTTGTGAATTTAACTCATAATAATTGGATGCTTAGTAAATCACCCCGCACAGCTAATAAATTACATGTCTCACTGACCCCGCTCTTGGGAAAGGAAAGGTTGGGAGGAAAGCAAGCGGCACGCAGGCTGACTGCACAGCGACAGCTGCCTGACGATCACCAGTCTCGTCCCCATCCCATCTACCTCTCCGTGATTAACGCCAGAGCAAAGCAGGGCAGGCTGAAAACAACAAACCATGACGGATGTTCCCAAGCCCAGAGCTAGACACAGATCTTCAGCGAACTGGTGTCACGACTGGAGCTGAGCAGCACATTTACACCAGCTCGGCTTGTGCTGTTGTGGTGCAAGGAGATGCAGCAACACCAGCCAAGGGTTTATTCGGTGCATCATTCCACTTCGTCAGAGGCCATCTATTAGCCCCCTTCCCATTGCAATTAAATAAGGTTAAAAAAAAAAAAAAAAAAGGGAGCACAAACATGTTATTGGCCGAGTGAGTAAACATTTCAGGCTCTTTTGCAATCATTAATGATAGTACAAGGCGTGTGTGAACTTCCTGCACACCGTACTGCAGTTCATTCTGAATTCACCAATGCAATTAGGGTGTCTTTTATGCAAGAGCTGAAATTCGCCTAGATTGATTTAACGAGTATAATTTCCTCTTTGGAACTGCTGGAAATTAATCATCAGTTCTCCAAGCTCCATCTGGAATTCACTCCGT